TGGCCTCCCCATAGTCCCCAAAGTCTTTTCCTTTGGTGTGAATGCTACTTTTGCCCTTTATAATATTGGCATCATGAAATAGTTGTTTTTATGAGATTGTCTAACTTTGAACACAATGTCCTCCAATGTTATCTATGTCATGAGGTGTTGGACAGACTTCTCATTGTTTCTTTAAAGATGCATAATCTCTCATCGTGTATATGGACCAGAGTTTATCCACTCCTCCACACAGGGGGTTTTTGTTTCTATCTTTTTTCTATTATAGGAATTGCTGCAATAAACACGGGTGCACCTGTCTGTGTTTTGTTCATTTCTTTTTTTCTTTTTTAAATCATTTTATTGGGGGCTCTTACAACTCATCACAATCCACCCATCCATCCATCTATTGTGTCACACACACTTGTACATTTGTTGCCATCATCATTTTTAAAACATTTTCTTTCTACTTGAGCCCTTGGTATCAGCTTGTTTTCCCCTCCCTTGCCCATCCCCCCTCCCTCATGAACCCTTGATCATTCATAAATTATTGTTTTTTTCATGTCTTAGACTGATCAATTTCTCCCTTCACCCACATTTCTGTTGTCCATCCACCTGGGAGAGGGTTATAGATTGTGATTGGTTCGCCCTTTCTACCCAACCTTCCTCTTCCCCTCCTGGTATGGCTAATCTCAATATTGTTCCTGAGGGGTTTATCTGTCTGGGATTCCCTGTGTTTCCAGCTCTTATCTACACCCGTGTCCATGCTCTGGTCTAGCCAGATATGTAAGGTAGAATTGGGGTCATGATAGTGGTGGAGAGGAAGCATTAAAGAACTAGAGGAAAGTTGTCTGTTTCATCGGTGCTATGCTGCATCCTGACCGGCTCATCTCCCCACGACCCTTCTGTAAGGGGGTGTCCAATTGCTTACAGATGGGCTTTGGGTCTCCATTCCCTACTCCCCCTCATTCACAATGATATGACTTTTTGTTCTGGGTCTTTGATGCCTGATAACAGATCCTATTGACACCTCGTGATCACACAGGCTGATGAGCTTCTTCTATGTGGGTTTTGTTGCATCTCAGCTAAATGGCTGTTTTTTATCTTCAAGCCTGTAGGACCCCAGGCACTATATCTTTTTTTTTTTAATCATTTTATTGGGGGCTCATACAACTCATCGCAATCCATACGCACATCCACTGAATCAAGCTCATTTGTACATTTGTTGCCATCATCATTTAAAAAACACTTTTTTCCTACTTGAGCCCTTGTTATCAGTTTCTCTTTCTTTCCCCTCCCTCAACCACCACCTCCCTGACCCACCCCCCTTCTCTCATGAACCCTTGATAATTTATAAATTATTGTCATGTCTTACACTGTCTGATGTCTTCCTTCACCCACTTTTCTGTTGTCCATCCTCCAGGGAGGGGGTTATATGTAGATCCTTGTAATCGGTTCACCCTTTCTACCCCACCCTCCTGGTATCGTCACTCTCACAACTGGTCCTGAAGGGATTATCTGTCCTGGACTCCCTGTGTTTCCAGTTCCTATCTGTACCAGTGTACATCCTCTGGTCCAGCCAGATTTGTAAGGTAGAATTCGGATCATGATAGCAGGGTTGGGGGTGGGGGTTATCATTAAAGTACTACAGGAAAGTTGTATGTTTCATCATTGCTACCCTGCACCCTGACTGGCTCGTCTCCTCCCCACGATCCTTTTGTAAGGGGATCTCCAGTGGCCTACAAGTGGGCTTTGGGTCCCCA